TTCAAACGTTTCGTTATCATAATTATTTAATACTATTGTCTAGATAATTAATACGGAAGAAATACACAAAGCATTACTCTTGTAATACCATACTTCAGTGTGCTGATAAATACATCGAAATTATATACTCTTGCTAAGAATATAATATCATAGCAACTTATAAAACAAGCAGCAATTTATATACGGGATTAAAATGCTTCATTTGCAGCCTCAGGTTATGATTGAGTAAGCTCTCTCCTTTATATGAAAAATTTTTTAACCATTGGCTCTTGTTAAAATAAACTGAATGGATGATTACGTCACACTCACCTTGGGCGTAATGTCAGCAGCCTTCTTGTAGTAGAATCGATGTAACCTTGCTTGCAACAAGGACAGGTAAATAGATAAGCTTCATCCGATGTTTTCAATGAAGAAGTACGATCTTTATGTTAGAAGAAATATTACAGACATCATTGTTTTTGGATTTGCACTTTTAAAAACAGAACCGTCAGTAAACTTTATACGTATGTATAGTTCATATAGGTATGACCCTTTGTAACAGTGGTTAATAAACTTCTATCTATTATCATTCTGACCTTGAGGTATGACCTTTTGTAGCTGTGGTTAATAAACTTCTATCTATTATCATTCTGACCTTGAGGTATGACCTTTTGTAGCCGTAGTTAATAAACTTCTATCTATTATCATTCTGACCTTATAAGTCTAGAAAGATATTCAGAAAATACTCACCTTTCAAGATTCGTTCAACATTCTTTAAGGGAAAGGTCTGACTTGACTTTTTGATAGAAAAAACCTTCTTAAACATTTCCATGTATGTTGTAAAGAAAAAATGTGGTGTCACTTTTTTCTGTGACACTTTGTTTCAGGGAACTTGTACTCTCAGCCAAGATGTAAGTATACGGTACAAGCTGTTTCTGTGGTACTTTGTTTCAGGGAACTTGTACTCTCAGCCAAGATGTAAGTATACGGTACCAGTTGTTTCTGTGACACTTTGTTTCAGGGAACCTATACTCTCAGCCAAGATGTAAGTATACGGTACCAGTTGTTTCTGTGACACTTTGTTTCAGGGAACCTATACTCTCAGCCAGAATGTAAGTATACAGTATCAGTTGTTTCTGTGACACTTTGTTTCGGGGAACCTATACTCTCAGACAAAATATAAGTATACGGAACCATTTATTTCTGTAAAACTTTGCTTCAGGGAACCTAAACTCTCAGCCAAGAAGTGTTGACGTGAAATCAGAATTACTTCTCATTTTTCTACTGATCATAAAATGGTTACTTCACGTCTTATAAAGTTCAAATTTTCAGCACTTAATGTACCAATAACCTTTTTCCCTTAAGAAGAGTTAGGAGCTTATATTATTAGAAGTTGTGAATGAAAACCTTGAATGCAAAATATATTTTCGCTTTGTACATTCGTTTGAGAACATAAGAGACTATTCTGTTCTAAATATAGGCAAATTGTGATTTACAATAATTTTCATCACTATCTAGCTAACTTGTCAAGCAGGAATCAAAAACAGTTTTTTAAAATTATAAAATGACTAAAACATATTTCACTTTTTACCACAGTTTATTATTTTCATATGAATGGTCAACAAATGTGTTGCATTGTCAATTTATAGCAGTATGTCATATTCTCCGTTTAAAATAACTAGGTTTGGTTGTTACGGATTTCACGCAAAGCTACACGAGGGCTATCTGCGCTAGCCGTCACTAATTTAGCAGTGTAAAACTAGAGTGAAGGCAGCTAGTCATCACCACCCACCGCCAACTCTTGGGCTACTCTTTTACCAACGAATAGTGGGATTGACCGTAACATTATAACGCCCCCACGGCTGAAAGGGCGAGCATGTTTGGTGTGACGGGGATTCGAACCCGCAATCTGCAGACTGCGAGTCGAGTGCCCAAACCACCTGGTCATGCCGGCCTAAACAACTAGTTATAGATGGTTACTAGACCACCCGTGACACGTTGGGTCACCCACTATTCAGAGGTTATGAAAAATTCAAGCTAATTTCAATATTACACCGAAATGAATGTTTATTTTAAGATGATTTAATTAAATATTTCAATCCATTCGTGTTATTCATAATACAAGAAAATATATCTGATTGTTGATCGGAAGTAAAAGTAAAGACCATTTCATTTTTCAAAAAAGTGAAGTCAGAGTTTTCAGGTATTGTGATGAATTAGTTCATTATGTTGTGGTCTTTCCTCTTAAACATTGTACAAATAAGAAACAGTAACACTTTATTTTTTCTTCGAATTACCTACCATAACCAAGGCACATTATTGAGAAATTCTTCAAGATCTTGTTTTTGTCATCTTACGCCTTTCAATGAAGATGGGAACATTGACAGGGAAATAGATTTGAACAAAGAAGTTTTGTAAAGAGCGAAAATGGTAGTGTGATGTAAAATAACTCATGCTAGAAATTTTCATAAAAGTG